TGTTATTTCATCAATCATATACTGTAGTTTGGATTGTTCCAATTCAATTAAATTATATAGCTCATGTATTTTAGAAATTACTTGTTGCTCTTGTCTCAATTAAAGGACAAAGATGTCACCGAGGTGATTGCAGTCAGAAGAGAGAAGTTGGCTTCAGTTCCTACCGATGGTGGTGCAGTTGTTGTAGCTGTACCTACTGCAGCAGGCGGTGCTGCTGCCCCAGCTATTACTGAAACAAAGAAGGAAGAGAAAGAAAGAAAGAGTCTGATGATGTAAAATGCTACACTTCGTTCTTTTTCATGACATCCTTTTTGTTTTCTTGGATCAATTTATGTGCTGAAGAGAATTAATACCGAGACTTGTGTTTCTATAGTTGCAAGATATGGGTTTCAATCACTTCAACTAAAAAATGCGAAACAGGACTAACCAATTCTTTTGAAGTTGCTGTCAAGTTAATTTTAGAAAATTTTCACATTGTTCTTGGTTTGGGTACTTAGACTTGCTTAGGAAACGATAAATTTGTTTTTTAAGTGAACAAGTTGCAGATATTGGCAAACGGGAATTTTTTCTGCTTGAGTTTGTTTATTTTGATTTGATGATTTTACGTACCGTATGTGCAAGTGTATACCTATTGTTATTCTCCGAAAAAATTCCGTGTTTTTTTTTTTATTGTTTTTTTAAATGAGATTAAGTTAATACTGTTAGAAAAGCAGAACAATGTGAGGAGAAGAGAAATGTATCAAAAGAGCAACTAGGTATTTCAAAATGGTCAATGTGGAGAGAAATTTATCACTTTTTTAGTGTTCATCACATTTGTGTCACTTTTTAGATTTTTGTCATTTTTTGAATGTCTTTTTTCTTTTATGTTTGTCACTTTATCAGTTGCTTTCTTGAAATTTTTATCACATTTTTTAATGACAAACATCATTTTTTAATAAAAGTGAGATTGTATGTTATTTTTTAATATAAAAGTGACACTAGACTTCTAACGGTGACATTTTGTCTCTTTTTCAAATTCATCACTTTTTAAATTTTTGGCACTTTTTTAAGTAGTTGTCACTTTTTTTGAATTTTTGTCACTATTTTTCAATCATTTTCTTGGAATTTTTATCACTTTTTTTTAGTGATAAACATCACTTTTTAATAAAAGTGAGATGGTATGTAAATTTTTAATATAAAAGTAACATTAAACTTTTAAAAGTGACATTGTATCACTTTTTAATTTTAAACAGCATTTTCTACTTCCAAAAAATTTTTCATATGATTTTTTAAAAGATCCTTAATTTTAAGGATATTTTTGTAAGTTGCCCAATCAATAATCTCAGGCAACCACAAACCAATAATTAGAGCCCAAAGAAATCAAATAACAAAATGAGCCCAACATAATTATTAGAGTCCAACAATAGTAGCCCAATTTAATTAGCCTAAATAGCAAACTGAGATCAATTGAGAAGGTCCAAGTCAAATAAACAAAACACATCCCACAGTCACAAACCAACCGAAGTCCACTGAGAACCTTCGTCGATGTCGTCGGCTACAATCGACACACCTAGGCTTTGCCTACCAAACTTGAGGGCTCTGATCACTACCTTCAACAGAAACGACACCACCACAGGAAAACCCACTTTCTATACCCATCGAATCACCACAAAACCATCATCGAACCATCGAAGGAATTCCAACAAACGCTGCACAACCACTCGACTGTTACAATCAATCGCAGCGCAAGCTTCTTCTGACGTCCGAGACCACCTCGACTGACAGCAACTATACTCCAATGAAGATTTAAGTTTATGGTAAAAAAGAGAAAGTCAGGGGGAAGGAGATAATACCAAAGCCCAGAATCAATGCTTTGATACCATTGTGAAATAGGTTTGATATAACTTTTAGAGAATAAGGTTCTTTTTACTTTCCCTCCTCTTCTTTCATTATATGGTAAAATCGAGAGTACACAAACATATAGAAACTCAGTAATTATGAAAATACAATAAACTCTAGTTACACCCCTGCCTAATTTACATTATTTACTTCCTTAACATGGAGTAATCGAATTGAAGTTCAACCACACCTCTCTTAATTATTGTAAGCTCGATATCTTTCCCTTCATGTGATTTTAATAATCAAATATCTGAAAAACTCAATAAATAAAGACGTAAAAGATACATAAGATTGAACTATATTATTTTGTAAGAACTAAAATTGAACATTTTATTAGTTTAATTAATGTAACTTTGTAAATATTAAAAATTTTAATTATAGTACAACTCAACTCAAACGGTTCCATAATTAAATTTAAAACAAACGGATACACTTACTAAATACTCGAAAATTTCGAGGTTCGATTCAATTCTCTTTAATATCCAGCCCTAATTTTTGTCGCTTTATTTCCCGATAAAGAGAATAAAGTATCCCATAATATGATGGTTTTCTACTCGTCTTACCTTATCCAAATTGAGAACAATCAACCTAAAAACCGAAAACATATATATAAATATATAACAATCATATAGGGATTCTATGGACTATGGTAGGTAAAAATACTGCTAAAAACTACGTTTTACTTGTCACACATAAATTTCAAAAATAAATTGAATATGCTCGATTATCCAAATATATATCACATCAATGTCATACTCATATGAGACGATAAAGTTAAATATAAATGTAGTTTCATGTGTTATACCATATGAGATTTTATTATATATAAACGAGGCAATTTTTCATCCCCCCCCCCACCCCCCCCCCCCCCCCCCCCCAAAAAAAGAAAAAAAAAAAGTGTCCACTTTTGGGAGAAAAAAATTGGTGTTTAAAATGGCAAGTCGTATATTATTCTAATTGATTTGAACTCACCATGGGCCACTAGATGTTCATTTGTAGTTGAATATTTCAACATGTAATCACGCAAATCTTAAATTGCAACTAGATAATAAAATACCATACGATCATCTTCTATATGCATACATTACAAATATTTCAACCCCAAAAAAAGAAAAAAAAAAAGTGTCCACTTTTGGGAGAAAAAAATTGGTGTTTAAAATGGCAAGTCGTATATTATTCTAATTGATTTGAACTCACCATGGGCCACTAGATGTTCATTTGTAGTTGAATATTTCAACATGTAATCACGCAAATCTTAAATTGCAACTAGATAATAAAATACCATACGATCATCTTCTATATGCATACATTACAAATATTTCAACATATAATCTCGCAAATCTTGAATTGCAAGTAGTTAATAAAACATCATGTGATTATCTTCTGTATGCATATATTACAAATATAAAATATCACAATGTTTGGAATGGAGTAAGTGGCCGACAAATAACCTCGATATGTTTCAAAAATAAAAGGATGTTGTTTGGAGATAATAAGCACATGAGAATTCATGAGATTGAAAAATATTCTGATTCTTTAAAAGATGTTCATAAGAATTCTTTTTTTATTTCATTATTATTTCAAGACAGTCTAGCCAGTATCTCAAAAAATAAACTCAATTATTACAACAACCCAAATTGCCTAATTCGATATGAACTCAAAGCTTTATTAGATATTAGTAGAGAACATGACATAGGGTTTGTTTGGTACATCTTTTGCTTATGCTCTTACTTGTAGAAGAGCTTCCTGAAGAAGCGGCCTTAGGTCAACTTTTCATCTTTTTCCAAAAGTTCTTTTAGCAAATTTCTTAGTGTTGATTACTTTTTGAAGGCCTTGCCAAATGAGTTATAATTTATATAGAAAAAGTGGTTATAAATTGTTGTAGAATATGAGCTATTTATAGTTGCTTGACATTCTTGAGATTTATGAGGAACTTATATCCATTATCCCATTGTCTTCCACCATCACCAATAATCCAGACAAATAATTATGTCCACTAACATATATAATAATGCTCCACAATATCCCTTGATATTTAATACTATAATTCTCCATAACTCGTACATCCATTTTCTTCTGTTAATATGAAGGTTTATACATGCAACCTTTCTTGAATAAAGGAGATTTAATATTAAAATGTTAAAACCTTGTTATATACAATGATTAAAATATGTTAGTTAACAACTTTATATTGTATATTTAAACATTGTACCATAGATCGATGAGAATAAAGTAATGCATTTTCGTATACAACGTTGCAAAATAGAATATACTTCTAATATCATGGCCACCATGGTAATATTTGTTGTTGTCAACTATGGGCAATGGTTAAGCCAAAAGACATTAATTGATGGAATTTCATTTGTCGATTCTTTTTGAGTGTATTTAAAGGTACTTTTATATTTCATAAAATTTTACGACTTAAAAAAAGTAATAATACAAGAAAAGTCTAAATTTTTTTAATAGATTGCAACATAAAATACAATGCTAAGCTATAGTAAACATTATGAAGAACACAATACCAACTTATAATCCTATGTAGTATGATACTATTTGTTTCGAATTACTCTAGTGGATCCAAAACGTGACGTGCACTTACAATGAATGCCAGTTGGACGTCGGATCCGTCATCAAGACTAATTTTGACTTGCCTTTTACTTTAGGACTTTTCTTCGACTAAAAAAAATTTAGAAAATATTTAACCAGCATGTAATCAACAAAAATACCCATACAACCACGTTTGGAATATATTGAGAACCATACGTCCCTCCAACATATTTCAAACAAAGTGATATAATCACAATAGAATACCAACTAACTCCATTTATAATAAAACCCTAAACAATCCAATATGCAGCTCTAATCTCCTCGTCACCTCCTAAAATTGAAATAAGATATTTGTATTAAACTTTAACTATCTCAAAATAATATATACTTGCTCAATGTAAATCCACTAATTTCTAACCAAATGCTTAACATACACATAGCTGAAGCTTATGGCTTGTTTGATTATCATTTTTTTCAAAATATATTTTTCTCCCTCCTTTTTTTTTAACCACACATTCTTTATTAAAATAATATTAAACACAAATCAAAAGTTTTTCATTATCTTTCAACCATACATTATTTATCAATCTGTTATTCTAAAATTCATTTTTTCATGAAAATAGGGCTCAAATACCCTCTTAATCTTCCAGTATTCTTCAACAAAACTCAAATAAATCGACTATTTAAATCCAAAATAATTTCTTTTCCTTTACCCACTTCCTTTAAAAGTCCAATGGCTGCCCCTTTTTTAATTTCAACAAGAATATCTTTATAATAGTCAAAACGGTCTTCATTACTTGTTATCTAAAAATTACATATATTTATCAAATCCCACCATTCAATAGTTTCAATTAAAATTTGCCAACACGTTTGCATAGACTTTGGGTATAATAATCTTTAATAAACTCTACCATTTCAAACTTTTTACTGTGAAAGAAACCAACATGAGGTTTAATTTTGAATTTAATCAACTAGCCAAGAACTATTTAAATTCAACATTTGAATAAATAGCTCATTAAACTAAAATCAACAATTCATTTCGAATTTAAGCCAATTATAATCCATTCTTCCTACATTACCCACAACTTTCTACTAAATTTTTGAATTAAATGTTCTGATATTTTAACTGGATATTATCACTGTCACTTTTGTCAATATATAGACATCTTTGTTACTTCATCTAAATTATTTATCATACCTTAGTGTATATTCATATGTATTCAATCATCAGACTACTCTGATAGATAACAAATTTTTTTTTCTCGCTCCTGTACAAATAAATTATTAATATCAAATCAACGGTCTAGCTAGGAATCAAACAAATAAAAAATAATAAATATCATAATAAGAGTACAACATATGCAGTAAAATAAAATAGTACATAACAAATGTAAGACTTAGTATTTTGTTAAAAAGTTTGACCTCAACCATGAAAAATCTGTGAAGCAGCTAGGAGTTTTGTAGCAGCAATTGGCCGCTGCAGCTCTAATCCCAATTTGTTGGTTCATTGCACAAAGGCTACTTTCAGCTCAATTAGTGTTTCTTTTCTCTAGCATTGTCCCAATTCTCATCAATGGATGAGAAGATGAGCTCCATGCTATTGTTGCTGCTACTACCAGAATTAAACATAACATCGGCAAAATCTGTCACCGGCTGGTAGTCCGGAAATCGAGGGCCGGACGGTCCTGCACTGCCACCGCCACTGGCTGCGATATTGCTGCTACTACTAGGCCCGGCACCACCCGTTGTACCTGGGTATCGAAACGCTAGGGTATCTAAAATGGAGGGTGTAGCTTCCACTTGTGGCGATGGCTTGACTTCAATTGACAACCAATGGCTTACGGGTGGCTGCATGGCGGTAGTTTGTGAAACCGTCCCGTGTTCAATGGGTGGTGGTATGGTGGCAGATGTTGCGGTGGAGGGGATGTTGCAAATGTGATTGCCTCGATATGTCACCTCGAATGTGTAGAAATCGTCGTTGAGCCGCTGGACTTGCTTCTTGGCCGGGCATTGGTAAAGCTTTTGGTGGGTGCATCTGTAGTAGCTCCTGAAATTTGAGGACGAGAATTGAAAATGGCCAAATAATTGCTCAATTTTGTTTCATCAAAGATGAATTACGCCAAATGATTAGTACAAAATATAAATGAAGAAATATCCAAGATTCGTTCATGAGCCCATTTGTCACCTTGTCTATTTCATGTGGTACCATTTTATTTTTTCATTGGCTAGGTTACATTGCAAAGGACGACAACTATAACGACTGGTAGCATGCCAGGGACCTATTGTAATTATTTTTATTCGTCAATGGTATAATGAAAGATAGAGAGTTTCAACCAAAAGAAAGTTGTTGCATGGTAATGAAATCCGTTCGATCCTTGACATTTCACCTCTGTTTGAGTTCCATTTTCTAAAATCTCATTTTTTTTTGTCCCATTCTGATTTTCAATCATATTCTCTCAATAAAATAACCATGCACATAAACCAAAAATATTTTCAGACTTTTTAATCACACATTCCCCGAAAATTCCACTATTACAAGACTCATTTCTCATAAAAATTAGGGTTCAAACAGATATGAGGTCCATTAGAATGCAGTGGTACTGAATTCATTAGAAGAAAGAGTTAAAAATTTCACATTGATTTAGTATAAAAATACTAAATACAAGGCTTTGGATAATTCTCTTAATAAAGTTGATATTTTTAAAATTAAACCCCAAGTATTCATATAATATCATAGATCAAGTAAAGCTCGAAACAACAATTTGATCCAGCTAAAGCTCAAACTAGCATTTGGATGTCTATTGTTGGTGTGATCAAATGAACCACCATCTTGTATAGACATATAAGGGTAGAAATTACGTATCAATTTAATATAAAAATACTAATTGACGTATAAGAAATTGCATTACTCCTTTGAATAATATTAACATTTTAAGATGGAACACAAATCTTAGTGAGGAATCAAATATTAAATGTAAGTATACCTTGGATGTTTACATCCCAGAATCTCTTTTTGACCATATTTTCTCCAAGTAAAACCATCTTCTGGTGGAAGATCAAGATTTCCCATCCGAGGAGCAGGTACCCTTCTCACAATTTTGTCGGCTTCATCCTTTCTATATAACCAAAAGTATAAGAAAGCATTAATACATGGTGAAGATGCCATAGTTTTAGTGTATTTTTCCACTAGAGGAGTTCGACATGTACCAATTATATCGGCTTATACGAAATGAAAAATTAACATGAAATCAGAAATATATATGAAACAAAAAGTGAAATGGTAGATCTGCAACATTAATTCATGGATGAAGGCAAATAGTGCTTACTGTGGAACTTCTTTCTCTAGAAACTCAAGCTGTTAGAAATGAGACAAATTAATTGGTTTCCATTATGTTTCAAATTCGCCTCTTCACACATATAAGGGTGTTTATTCTTTATCAGAGACATAAAATGTACACTATTTTTCATGAAAAAAGGGGAAGGTGAGACTTGAATTGGTACACTTTTGTCTATCATGACACCATGCTGCAAATGTGTCCACAGGAGATAAACCCAATGTGATTGATAATTTTTCTAGTATATAAACCTATTCTTGCATGAACTTTCATGAACTTCTTGAATTGGAACCTGAGGCAGAAGTTCTTTGATTCTTCCCCTTTAATTTTCTTTCTTGGTCAAAACATCAGTCTTTTCCAAGAAACGAAAAAAACACAAGGTGTCCCTCTGAGGATACCCTTACCTAAGAAAACAGGCATGAAGATTATCAAGGAATGAAGTTTCTAACCTTCTTCTGCATCTTTTAAAAGAAGTCCCCGGGCTCAGATTCAATGCATCCGTTGGCTTCTCCGGCACCCTATCGCCCCTCCACCTGTCTGCACCACCTTCCAAATCCCTCCCACCAGCCGTTTCATGTCCGATGAGTTCCAAACCGTGTGAGAAAGCGCTGCTGCTGCTGTGGCCTAAAATAGCTTGAGCATTAAGCAAATTCATTGCCTGATTATCAGTACTTGTGCCTGCACCACTTCTTAACCATTCCTGAATTCCTATGTCGAGTTGCCGATGAAAAACTTCATGGGATAATCTCTCTTTTACTCGACTAAACGCCATAATGATCTCGTCACATGATCTTAGAAAAAAATCACGATGGTTAGCCAAATTTGGCAGATTTTCTTCTAGGTCTTTAGCCAACTTACACCCATATAAAATCAAACCTCTGTTTTCCTCCATTTTTTTTTTCCTTGGGTTAATTTGTGTTTGGACAGTGGTACATTATAAGCTCATTTAAAGGAGAACAAAAATTGTTTAAGAGTCTGTTTCTGTGTAGGTGCCTTTTGGGAAAAAATGCACTGCACTAAATTATTCAAAGTATTTTGCATATTTTGAACACGCCGAGTAGAAGAAACTTTAGAAAATCATGACCAAGTCACTCGTCTAATTCCTAGCAGTTTTTCATGTTCTGAGTTCATACCCACAAGAAGTCCACGAGAAGACTTGGCCTCATAGAACCAAAATGGAAGGATACCATGAACAATTTCCCTAAGGTTGAAAATTTGACTGATTATATAATTAAAATGAGTGAAAATTAAAAGATTATTATATATCGGGTTGTATTCAACTGAGATTTTGATGAATTTTAAATATTGTTCTAATTTCAGGTGTCCTCAATTGAGATTTCACTAAAATATAAGTGTTCACAATTGAGATTTAAATGGATTTTTATGAAATCCATTAAGACTTAGGTATCCTCAATAACTCATGGATTTATGTGGATTTTATTAATACAGAGATTCTAAATATTTTGATAGATTTCAGGATATAAAATACGTATAATTTTTCAAAATTTACCATTTTTTAATGAGATTCTTATGGATTTTGTTCAATCTTTTAAATCCACAAAATTCATTAAATTTTATAATCTTTTAAAATCCATCAAAATCTCACGTCGAAAAGGGCTAATCAGTAGAGGGATTAAGATAAACAATATGGTCATTTATTAGAGATTATCTGGTTTGGGTTGGAAAACTTGACTTCTAAAGTTAAAGACCATCTGGAACTGGAAAACATTTTGTTCTTGGAGAAGTCAGATTCTTTGGATCTTAGGACTTTAGTTTCTTTGAAACAGCCCATGACAAATGCTTTTGTTCTTTTGTAAATTTATGGACCCTTGGAACTTTCTTCTGTTTCCTAGCTTGTTGGGAAAATTGCAACAGCCATTCTCAACCTTTAACACATTATATCTCCGCCCTCATATTCTTTTTCTCTATAATTGCTCTATAGTATCCTCCTTGACATCTTCAATACTCCCACTAGGCACTAGTAGAGTTGACAAAATGTTTTGCCCACTCCATCGTAGAACCGAGGTAGGGATTGGGAATATGGTCCGCGCATCAACCCGCCCCGACTCTTATTTTTTACGTGTTTTAAATTTATATTATATTTAAAAATGAAAATAAATAAATAAGTAAGTCAACCGGATAGAAAATTGGGATATTTACTCCCCACACCACCATCCAGATTTTCCTACTTGTGCGGGGGGATGAGGAATTCAACCTCATCTAAGGCTTGTTCGATAGTGATTATGAGAATTAATTTTTTTATCGTTAGAGAGAAAAGTCGATCTCACTTGTGAGAGAAGAAGTAAAAAATGACGACTGATTTAGGAAAGTAACTTTAAAAAATTTGATTTTTTGGGATGAATAATCAGAACCAAACATACACTAAATTGTCATCCCTACTCGCTGACATTTGTTTAGAGGAGTCACTCAATAAAATGTTTATAATTAGATTTATATTTAAGTGATGTAGAATTGTATTCTTAACATACATATACTAATTGTAGATTATAAACTAAGAGTTACAAATTGCTAGGTTGACATTAATGGGCAAGAAGTTTTGCATTTTCTTTTTTAGCTAGTTTAGAGGTAGTTTACAAAAATACCCTAAAAAATAGTGTGCAATAAATTTTTAATGAGGGTTCACATGCACTAAAGATGAAAAGTCAGAGATCTAAATGTTGAAGAAAAATATAATTTGGGATCTAAGTACTTAATTAGTCAATTGTTAAGAACTGCAGCTATAATTTTTCATTTTTGTTCTCCTTTTCTCTGATTAATTGGACTGTGGCTAAATTCGAAGAAATTTTGGATTTTTTTTTTCATTTTTTTGTGAAATATTTTACTTATTTTTTTGCAGCATCTACTTTCAAGGAATAGTAGGGATTTGTACAAATCGAGTCTAGGGTCAATATATATCACATTAGTAGAAGCGATCATGCTACACGTTCAGACTCAAATCCAAATGAAACACATGTCGATGCATAATTGAACAATTTGAAAAATTAAAACAAAACACCAAATTATTTTTTGACACATCAATTTGTCTCTTCACTTTCCTGTTTTTGAGTTTGGATAAGTGGCTTTATTCTAGTAGAAGATCATTCCAATATTTTCTCCGATAGCTAAAAATATATTCGGACTTCAATCAAAGGTCTACAATTCACACACAAATGTACATTTTCTTTCAAGTGTCGTACAGTCGAGCATAGGTCAATCATTTACCGACGTTGGCGGTCTGGCTCTAATTTTCAATGGTGCACTCCACTTTCATTGTCCATGGCTGCTTGACCTTATGTTTGAATTAGAAAAATCAGTTTCAAACTTGAGGGTTTGCTTACTTTTCTTGTTCAATAGGGCAAAAAAAATCTCCATATCAAGTTGTTGAATGTATTAGTCTACCATAAAAATATTTTTAATCCTCCCTTGCTCCGCTCCTGTGCATATGCCTCTTAAATACTAATTAACTTTAAAACTTGATGTAAAAAAATTATATATATTCTTACATTTGAATATTTATTCGGTTCCGTATCACTAAGAAAAATGATGAACTTTTAATTGAAAAATATAAAATAAGTACGGTGAAAATAAGACATCAATCAAGTTGGTCGTTGAATCCAAATGAAGTGTGCACTTGAAAAACAAAAAAAAGAAACTAAATGGTTCGATCGAAATAATTTTATTTTTTTTCATTACTAAAGGCACTAATTTTGAACAAAAGTTGTATATTGGACTACATGGAGTAGTTGGTTTTGCTTTCAATGGTCAATTTTGACACCATTACTGTAAAGACAATTTTATAATAAAAGATTTAATCAAACTTTGAAGGCTAACAGACCAAGTGAGGGGTTAAAAGGTGGGCAATTATCAAAATGAAAAAAATAAATAAAAAAATAAAAATTCAATTATTCATATATTTTTCAAGAAACGGAGATATAAAAATTGTTTGTTGGCTGTGAAGTATATACACATTTTAGTATGCAACGAATTTCCCAATTATATGGACACGTTGGGTTCAACTTAAATGTATCTAATAACTTAATTATAATTAATAAATTGTCGAGTATATATTTATTGAGAACGCCACATTTAACGAAGAATTTACGTTTGAGTCTTCATCACATCCCTCAAGTGACGTTGATATCGTCATACTTTCAGATAAGTACATAGTATCGTAGTCTTCACACATGGAATCCCTTTAAAGTGACATCAGTCAAATATGTGACACCCAAGTCCTAAAACTTGACAATAATAATGTATCAAATTGTAACTTAAATGACAAATATAAAACTTAATAAAATATTTAATTGAAACTCATTCCATAAATTTAGATTAAGAAAAGTTGCATAGTAATAACCTTTAAAAAAAACTTATTCAAAATTAATAATTTTAACTCGAAATCGAAGCTTAAATAAAACTCTCAAATTTATTTCCTCCATCGCAGTCAAATCCAAACTCTGAACTCCCTGATGCCTAGTTACCAGAAAAGGGAAAAACTTAAGGGTGAAACAAAATTTCAATAAGCATATACATGTTCATGAATTACTAGTCACATAACTTTTGAAATTGTAATACTTAAATAATGGAAACAAGAAAACTATACCGAACTTAAGTGATATGAGTTTTATGTGCGTAGCGCTACTAGAACTATGATCCGAATCTTGGAACATACATATAAACTCATAAACATACTTTTCAAAAGTGAAGCTTAACAATAAGTATAAACTTACTGTCGTGTGTGAGAAAATTAAAGGCAATCGAAAAAATTGACTTGTTAGATTTTCACTCCAATGTTTTTTGAATAGCATGCATGCTAAATATTTTTGTAGTGTGAAATATGTATATGTGTGAAGAATGGGTAGGGAGAGAGACAGAGAGAGAGAAAGAGGTAATGTGTAAATTTCTTAAAAACATGTACCTATTTATAGTACTCTGATAATGCATTAGATAAGTCCTATAACTTATTCAAATAAATTTGTATACTTAAAGATAACGATAATATTCAGCATAATTTGTGATAAGTTGTATACCTAAATGATCATAATAATATCCAACAGAATTTGTGATAAAATTGAATATTTAATGGATAATAATTATATCCAACAAAATTTGTTTATTTAACTTTATCACAAAATATGAGAGATTGTATTTACTTTGGAATTCAAATCTTAGCACTTTAATTTCTAAAATATTAGCTAATAATCAATTAGGTACCTAAATTATCATATCCATGCAATAAAGTCCTAAATTCGAATATAACGTCTATTTTTGAGGTACGGGATGTCACAATCTACTCCCCTTAAAATATATTTCGTCCTCAAAATTTTACATCAATTGTTGATAGCAAAAAGTTAGAAATACTTAGACTTCGTTTGGTACCCATTTTTGTAAGACTGAGAATGAAAAATATAGCTGTTAGGGGACCCGCACAAGAGAAAGAAAGTCAAATATGGAAACTTGATGTGATGAATAATGATCATATTTTTCATTTTTGTAGTCAAAAAATGGGAATCAAACGGGGGCTTAGATCACATTTCCTCTTCACGTTCTCAAGTGGCCTCATCGACTGAATCATGTTGTCATAACACTTTAACTAGTCGTATTACTTTGATGTGAAGCTTCTTTACATTCTAGCTATAATGTATATCGGTGCTTCTTTGTAACTCAAATTTAGCTTAATATCCAACGGTTGGTATCTCTGTACTTGAGTTTGGTCAGAAGCATACTTTCTAAGTATTGATACATAGAAGACGTTGTGTACCTCTAAATGCTCTGGTGGCAAAGCTAATTGGTATGCAATATTCTCAATATGTTTTAAAATTTCGTAACGACTAATGTATCTTGGTCTGTGCTTACCTTTCTTACAAAATTATCGTACTTCGTTAATGGGTATTGTTACATGTTGACACAGTTGGACGATCCACTGGGGCCCATGGCCTACCCATGCCAAACCACGTGGCATGGTGGCCGA